CGCAATTATATAAGAATAAATCTTAACTCTTAATTGTTTATTGTAACTATTGAATCGAACAATTTAGTTTTCGTTCATTTATTATAATAAATAATTCATTATGTACTTACTTACTTACTTTCGCCTGTTACCCCCAATGGAGCATAGGCCGCCCACCAGTTTTCTCCAACCAACTCTGTCCTGGGCTTCCCTCTCCAGTTCTGTCCAATCTTTGTTCATTCCTCTCATATCTTTCTCTATTTCTCGGCGTAGTGTGTTCCTTGGCCTTCCTCTTTTCCTTTTGCCTTGAGGGTTCCATGTGAGGGCTTGTCTAGTGACGCAGTTGGGTGCTTTTCGTAGTGTATGTCCTATCCATTTCCACCGCTTCTTCCTGATTTCCTCCTCCATTGGAATCTGACTTGTTCTCTCCCACAGTTCGTTGTTGCTGATGGTGTCTGGCCAACGAATACGAAGTATTTTGCGTAGACAACTGTTAATAAACACTTGTATCTTCTGGATGATTGCTTTGGTAGTTCTCCATGTTTCCGCTCCATACAGTAGAACTGTCTTGACATTTGTATTGAAAATCCTGATTTTGGTTTTGTTTGAAAGTTGTTTGGAGTTCCAGATATTTTTCAACTGTAGAAATGCACCCCTTGCTTTGCCAATCCGCGCCCTCACATCTGCGTCCGATCCACCTTTCTCGTCGATGATGCTGCCAAGATATGTGAAGGTGTTAACGTCCTCCAAGGTATCTCCATCAAGCGTGATTCGGTTGGTGCATGTTGTGTTGCATCGGAGAATTTTGCTTTTTCCTTTATGTATGTTGAGACCTACTGCTGCAGAGGCTGCTGCTACACTGGTCGTCTTCTCTTGCATTTGTTGTTGAGTGTGCGATAGAAGAGCCAGGTCATCTGCGAAGTCCAGATCGTCCAGCTGCGTCCTAACTGTCCAGTTGATACCGTGCTTCCCTCCAGATGTTGACGTCTTCATAATCCAGTCGATCACCAGGAGAAAGAGAAAGAGTGAGAGTAAGCAACCTTGCCTGACACCGGTCTTCACCTCAAAAGAGTCTGTCAGCTGACCTCCGTGTACGATTTTGCAGTTGAATCCATCATAAGAGTTCCGTATGATGTTGACTATTTTCTCAGGCACACCGTAGTGTCGAAGAAGCCTCCACAGTGTTTTCCTATCCACGCTATCGAATGCTTTCTCGTAGTCGATGAAGTTGATGTACAGTGGTGAGTTCCATTCAATTGATTGTTCCACAATGATCCGTAATGTAGCAATTTGGTCAGTACACGATCGATCCTTACGAAATCCGGCCTGTTGATCTCGAAGTTGGGCGTCTACGAAGTCCTTCATTCTGTTTAACAATACTCTGTTGAAGACTTTGCCTGGTATTGAAAGAAGAGTGATGCCTCTGTAGTTCTCACACTTGCTCAGGTCGCCTTTCTTTGGTATTTTGATAAGGTATCCTTCTTTC